CGTAATTGTCTGCTGACCAATTAGTGGCTGTACTTTCAAAAAGTCAACGGCCACTTTCAACCATCTGTCGATGACCGTTACGACTAAAAATAACTTCGCTAGGTCTTACTTTCAGGGGTAGGTGTTATATTTCGCAATTCAGCAAAATCTGTGCTAGGTCTTATTTTCTGCGGATGTCTTATTTTCGGGGAAACACGGTAGCAAACGATTGCGCTTTTCCTCATAAACTATACCTGCTTCTGAAAATAGCCTCTCACTATATACACTACTGCCGGGAGACGATAGATAAATCTTAGCGAATTCTGTCAGGCTTGGATACTGTTTTGCGTTTGCTGACCACCACTTGTAAAGGTCTGCCGTCAGATCTAGGCGAACGGTTTTCATATAAAGTGATACAGTGATATTTTTTTAGTAATAATTAGTAACGCAATTTGATGTAACAATGAACAAATAATGCATGTTGTGACATGATCTACTCGCAAATAAAACAAATGTGCCCGCAGTGTCGCTACCGCACCGACCGCAATGTATCAGGTCGTAACATATCACCCGCGAAATGTACACATATTTTGCCGAACATTCAGCCGCCGAATATTCGGCGCTTCGGCCAAGAGCGTAGCCGAATGTTCGGTATTCGGTATTCGGCAAAATCACTATTCGTGGCATCACTAGTTCTTACAGTAAAAAAGTGACACAGTGATCATGGCAAACTCAACGTGCATTCATGAATATTTTCCTGAAGAATTCCAAACAGCGTGTGTTTTAATTGGTGCAGCGATTATCTTTCTTATTATTATTATTACATTGTTGGCATCTTTTCATCAGCTCGCACACAATTATTTAATGTTCAGATTTTGTAATTGGGATGTTAGATATCTTGGGCAATGAACCGTTATCACAGGTGGAACTTCAGACATTGTTAAAACATATGCAACTCAATTAGCGAAACAAGGAATGAATATCATAGTAATCAGCAACGAAACGTTAAGAACTACCGTAACAGATATTCAGAATTATCGTGTCCAATATTTTGTTCAAGTAGATTTCATAAATGGAAGGCGTGGACATCAGAAGATAGTCACTCAATTAAAAGATAAGGATATTGGAATTTTGATCAATTGTGAAAAACTTCTCGGCAATTTACCATGAGTATTTTTGAGTGAAAACAAAAGGGATTTTCTTATGAATTACACATTAGAGCCACAGTGCAGTTAACAGGTTGTTTTGCCTTCCACACTTTTGAAGAAAAAGGTAATAATAATTAATGTTTATTCTTTCATCTTTAACTTACAATACCTTTTCATCTGTAAACGCCTTTACAGATCATATCAATCGAACCATTTCTTACGAATGCAAAAATGATGTGTACGTTCAGTCTACGGTACTTTATTTCATAAAAACTAAGGATGATCGAACATTTCATTGACACGTTCTTTGCAAAAGCTTGCATCCTGCCACAGATACATTGATAAAAATGCATACATACAGTACGTTGACTTTCACAAACTTTCGGAATTCTGGATCAGTAAAATCAGCTTATTTTCTGTGGAAAAATTTATTTCTGAATATTTTATTTCAATTATTTTGAGATTGTAGATTAAGGACCTTGAATTGGAAACTGTTCTTAAAATTCAAAACTTAACTACGCAACTGAATTCTCTAAATCATACTGTAATATTACTTTTATAATAATATGCCACTTAGTGATTTTAAAGTATCTTGAGAGATATTAAATACTTTATAAAAATTCATGACAGCCTATATCATGTATGAAGTATTAAAATGTTATTTCAAAATCTATCAGAGATAAGTGTTTTATTTTTTAAATATTTCTTTACTCTGAAATTGTATAAAGTTAGGCTATCATCAGTAAATAAAATGTATACCGTACTTAAATATAATTTGAGTTGATTCGTCATTACTTAAATAATTTGTTGGCGTAAAGTTTCTATTATCTTTCTCATCAAACATTTGATTTTTTTCTAGTTGAATTTATTCCTTTCCTTTAACTTTCGAGTGGCCCGTGATAAGACCACAAAACTAACACCTGAAAGAAAAATAAAATCATAAAAAATATTTCGATTTTTATATGCTGCCACTGCTTTTAGTTTAAAAGAGCCTCAAGTGTGGCTAAAACTTTTCTGGTGAAATTAAGATAGCCGCCAGAAGATCTAACTTATATAGGTCAAAATTTGTTAAAAATTCAAGAAATGATTTAATGTCAGTTTTCTATATATAACGTTAATGCGTTCTGTGTATTAATAAATAAAATGGAGTCATCGGTAAAATGTTCTCGTTCTCCTTTAAAAAAAATATATTAAAGTTTTTTTTCATTGATCGTATTCTTGCATAAGTCAGAAAACGTTTTGTCTGTGATCGAAGATTAAAGAAGCGATTCTCAAACTTTATCTAGCCACCGTCCCCTTGGTTCCATAAACTTATATCCAACACCCCTAACCCATTTTCCTTTGTGTGAGAAAGGCTTAGAAAGTTTTTCTAGGAATATTTCAATGAACCTCACACCTTGTGTTCTTAAAAGTACTGTACATTTTCCTCCACACTGGGAAACCATTAAATGCAATGTTTCTTCTTACTTGTTTTAACAGAAGAAAGGAATACGTTGTCAGTGACCCCAACCCGTCTATGGTTACGTTCAATACTCTGCATTCCAATACTCTGGCGCCCATTTTCTTCTTTTCGTTGTCCTAGTGTGCACTGAACGTCCACAGTGGGACAGTAGTGCACACTTTGGGAACTACCGATTTAAAGCAACTGCGTGACCACTGAACATGAATTTTTGCAAATATGTACAGCTCGATAAGGCCGATGTCGTAACGATGCCGAAATTTTGAAATTTTATCTACGGGCCGAGATATTTGAAGTCAAAGTTTGCCACATAAAGTCTAGGGGGCAATTGCCTGTTGTAAGCTGGTCGCCCGTTACATGTCAATAGAGTTTCCAATTACTGTTAATTTACATTGATCTCTACGGCAATTTTTATTTTAGATTTAGATCGATTTTAAATTCTTTTTTTTGCACAGTTTCATTTTTACAGAAAATACCTAGTTTGTTTTGCCACAGATTTAGGTAGTCTCAAGAATTGGCTTAAAATATGGGAAAGATTTTATTAACAGATGAATGGTTTAATCGTCAGAAAAAACGGAAAATACAGATACTGTGTACGATGTTCTTTTGTGATGATGAGAGAGTTCTGATTCCGCATCAGCTGAATCGTGGATATAGAAATGGCCACAAAGGATTACTGAATATTCATCGAAGAATATCTACAATGCGGACGAAACAGTACTTTACTTTCATGCAATACCTGATCATACTTATGTTTAAATATGAAAGTGCTAAAGAATTTAAATCTCAAGGAGGACGGCCGGATGGTCTAGGAGAGGCAGGATCGAATCAGGATGAGCAACCGTAGGAATTCTTTCCTGGATAAGTCGAACGTAGTCCCTCACTTAGCTGTACTTATTGTGAACATGGTTGAACTCATGATTGTTGTGATTAAAAAGGCTCTGGCACCACAGGGCAGAAAGAGTAAAGAAAAAACTGAAGGAATGCATTAGTTCTCTGTTTTTAGCTTTGCATATAATACAACAAACTTTCGGTTATTGGAAAAAGTAAAACTTCTAGATGTAAAAACCATCTCAGAATTTTCTCAGTTTTTCTATTATGAAGCATTTCTGAAATAGTTCAATGTTACAAATTATAATAAATCTAACCGGAAAGACTATTCGCCAAGATTAATTTCTATATATTCGATATTTTCTATGTTTATAAAAGAGAGGGATTATTCAACTCGGTTCTTTTAACTGTTATAGTTTATTATAATTAAAACTTTTGAATAATTATTAAGTTAACATAAGATTTAAGTTATATAACAAAATACACAGTAAATACGCCAAAAATCACTTTGGGTTTAAACAATTACTTTCTAAAAAGTTATCGTTATAAGTCAAAGCGTCTTTATAGAAGACACTTTGACACATGACATACAGTAATAGAGTATCTAAAAATAGTTGGACTTAGGCAAAGCTTTTAATATAGCCATTTGTCTATCCTTGAAGAAAATTATTTGATTTTCCATTTTTAGATGGATTATCCTCCATGATAAATTTCTACGAAGGTCAAAAGCATTTGATTTTGATCTTCGCGTAAATAATTCATCATTCCTAAGAAACTGTATAAAAATAGAAAGTATAAGAATATGTGATTGTTTAATAATACTTTTAAAATTATTAAAAACGTTTCACATGAATCAATTGTTTAATATTTAGACCTTAAAAATCCTTTGTTCCCAAGAGTTCAAAAAATTGGAAATAAATTTAAATTATAGATTAAATATTTTGCTTCTTCATTTAGGTGGAAATAAACTGGAATCAATATAAATAAAATCAAATAAATTTTGATTACTAAACAAAAATAATTCATTTGCAGATATTACTTTACATCTGAGGGATATATAGGTAACCAATAACAGAATATTTCTGAATATTTTTAAAAATAGTTTAAGATTGCATAATTATATAAATTACTTAAGAACAATGCTAATTGGATTTAATGGAATATTAAATAAAATTAAGTATGGAATCGTTGTTCAAGCTTCTGCTCGCATGTTTCTTGTCCACAGACTTTAGATGATAAATAATTTTATACTGAATAAAGCCATTTTGTTGTTAGTCAAACGTTTATAAAATTTTAGTATAATTTTCATCAGAAATTAATATTTGAAAAAGATTTATAGCAGATTTAACTAAATATTTTTGTAAAAATATACTTAAAGCATTTATAATTTAAAAACAATTTAAATGCTAGTCATCGCGATTATTTATTTTTCTTCTATTTTTATACTGCTTTGAAGACTAAAATAAAAAACTCTAGCAACGAGTTGCGTAATTTTCCAGCTGTTATAAGATTTCATTTAAAAATAACTTTTATATTATTAATAAATCTGTTATGAGATTGTCAATATATATATATATANATAGAATACAAAGTGAAAGATTTGGCTCATGTCTGAGTGGAAGAAGTACCCGATAGTGTATAAAGATTTTAGCACTTTAAATATCATTTCGGAAGAGCAATTACAATTGATTTTGGATAGTGTACCTCAACAAGAGCTTAGAAGCGAAGAATGGGAAGAAACGGAGCTAAATCAGAGTAATGAATACCCATTTGAAGATCCTACACCGTCTGTTCTTCGTTATATCAACTTGGAGAAACTATACTGGAGAGATACAGATTGGAGGATGATAACTGACGAAAGACCTTCGACAGAGAAGGACGAAAGATTTTTTAGCAGGTATATTTATAAAATTAACATTTACAACAGGAAAAAGAAATGTTTTAAGATCGAATATGAAATCTTTCAGACTCGTCGAATTGGAAAAATTTCGGCTTTTTACAAAAGCTGTAGAAATGAGAAGGAAGAAAAAGATGGAAGACGAGTTAGAAGAAGGTGTTTTACAAATTTCGGAGGTTTCTTATAGGAGTTATAGTAGGGAGTGTCTCGAGGACGAAGAGGTGGATCAATATGATGACGTAGAAGATCAGATTGATGATGGTCAACATCTACAACCGAAAAATAAATCAAAATGATTTTTCTAAGATGAGTTTTTATTAATAAATTATTATACTTGAAAATTAAGTAAATCAATTTTTAATCAAAACTTTTAATATTTACTTAAAGGGTCCTAAATTTTTTTAAAATTTACAAACTATAACGTAGTTTCTTAATATTTTATTAGCTTGTGATTCTCTTAAAGAGAGAAAATAACGTTTCTTTGGGACCTCCTGGTTGATAAGTAATACCGTACATAACGAACGATTCAACATATCAAAAATTTGAGAAATTCTAATTACATTTTATTTAAAAAGTTTTATACAAATTCGTTTAAAATCACAATGTAACTGGAACAATTGTTCTGGTCTCCTTCAATTAATAAAAATAACATTTGGATAAAATAATTGACACATTAAATTGCTAAATTAATTTATTTATAATTACAAACTATATATATATATATAATTATTATCGAATAGCAAAAAGCTTGATTTTGAGAGTTGGGGTGAGTTTTATAAAAAATGTAAATGCTAATAACGAATAATATCTTCATTAAGTCCGACCCCTCTCCAGATATGACACATGGCTTCCCCCTCTATATCCCCACCCTTGGACCATTAACCACTAAAATCTAATAGCATCAATGTCCCTTATACACAAGCTATCATGCCAAATTTCGTTTCATCATCATTACCCCATCCTGAGATATTAAATGAAATAGACGTCACACATACACATCCATAAATTTTTTTGTCTTTTTTTTTCTTTTACTTTTTTGAGTTCAGGAGGTCTCAAAAGTGAAGATTTGCAGAAAATTCGGAGGGTAAAAACTGACACGATTCCAATACTTTCCCTTGTTATGTATTATAACAGCATGGAAAGTAACTGCCAGGAATGACCTAGGAATTGGTAACTAACTGATTTGTTATGATATGCTGATTTCTTTTAAAGTAATATAACTCATAATAACCTATCATGCAATTGGATTTTATTTGTGTATAATTAATTACCCATGTTAATAATACAGTATTTAATTTAACAGTCCATTAAACTTTCTGCTTCTCTGATCGTATATTATTGGCAGTAGTGTAACTAGAACCTTCATTCAATTCTCTACCATTGTTGATGTAGCCACTAGCTGTGGACTCTTAAGATATTATATTCGTATATAAATATCTACAAGGGCGGATTTAGGGTGTGCTCAGGTGCCCTAAATTCGCCACTCCTGGGGTTTTCCCGAAAGCCGAGTATGTCAAGTAGTAAAAAATGTAAGGCATATTGTTTCCTTTCTGCACCCTCTCTAAAGATTTCTGGATCTGCTATTGCATGTTTAAGCGTGTGTCACCTTCGAAATATTTTTCCTGTAGCCTACTTATTTCGTATTTTTCCTTCGTTTAATTTATTTTTAGTGGTAAGGGAGCAATGTCGTAACCAAGAAGGGGTCCGGCCCACTCTGATTACGCTTCTGATTACTGTCAAATCAAACATCAAAGACCACCCAGCAAAAATGATTATACACCTAAGCTTAAGCAACATAAGAGGAAAACAAACTCCTGGCTGATTTACATAATTGCATAAATCTAATCATCATAAGTTTGCATACATTTTTTGACCCTTTCAACTTTGAGGGCATTAAGGTCGCTTCTAACCCTATCCATCATGAATTCGGATCCACGAGCTGGTGGGAAATGTCACTAGATATGCCTTAACTTGCAATTAATTTATTTAATATCCGGTAAACAGTTTAATGAAAAACATTAATGCTTTCTTTTTATTAAATACTTTACACAATTTATTGTATATAATTATGTAAGTGAACGATTATTATTTTAAAAAAGTCACATTTTGTTGATTTATTTCTTCTATTTTCTATCATACAAATGTATAGTTCGTGTATTAATATTTTACTCACTCTAAAAAACAAAAATTATTTTATTTTCTATACAGTTTGCAATTGTAAAATATTGACTTAATATGTAAAAAAATCTACATAATTTCGAGAATACAATCAATACAATTTTATATTAATACTATACTATTATTAACTATGTTTTGTTTGTATCAAACCATCTATACCTATATATTACTATAATAAATAATACAAACAGTACATAATAATTAAGAATAATTTTATAGTAATTTTTAGAGTTTTAAAGAATAATCTGAAAATACTTTTTAACACAGTACAGTGCGTGTGATGCCATCTCTCGAATTACTTTTAAATTTTTCAATAATCTAGTGTAATGAATCCAAAAATACACTAAATTTTCGGAAAATTTCAATATCATTTGTGTACTTTATACATTACAAAGATTAAATTCTTGTAAATCAATAAAACTTGAGGTTTACGCTTAGTTAATAATTGTTTAGGGATTAAAATGTTTAAACTGAATAAGGAAACACTGCAAAGTATTTTAATTGCAGTATATGTAGTATAATATGAATAAATCATTGAAAAGTCTCCAAAATGTTTAATATAATAATAATAATAATAATTAAAAATCTTTTATTTTCGAAACGTGTAGTAGTAGTAGTAGTACTTAGTCACGTTGGAAAAAATCGATAATTCAGTAAAGTGTTAGTGAGGAATCACTTAGACAGGTGAGTGTAGAATCCATTCGTAAACCGTATATTAATCTTTCCGCTTAACTGATGACATTACATGAATATTAATCGGATCAACTCTATAATTTTATTACTTTTCATATATTATCGTCTCAATCTTATCTCTTAACTTATCTCACGTTTAAGAGCTACGATTAAAAATAATATTTTAAGTTACTTTACTAATATTTCTCAACGTAAATTAAAGTAATAATTTTCCGTAAAAAAATGATGCCTGCTTAGACAATTAAGTTGTTAACTTATAAATATTTTTAGGAAGTTATTTTAAAATTAATATTCAAATGTTGACCTACCAAAATTGTCCTTTAAATCATTTCTTTGCACGCACTTTCTAATGTATTTTGAATTATTCATTTCCCCCCTTCGTGGAAGCGCATATCGTAAATAATTTAGAAATTTATACGAATAAATTTTCAAATATTTATCATAAAATGTCCCGTATTTTGATTTCCTTTAAGTTTATTTTTATCTTAAATGAGCCTCAATACAGTTTAACATTAACGAGTCATAAATAGTTCAAACTTTATATCAACACGAAAATATTAATTAATTGTAGTTACAGCGAATAGTGTTACTTTAATTTGAACGATCGACACATTTTATAAGTATACAAAGAGCGCAAGTTGCATAGAAAATTTGAATAATAGCCGAACTTTATAATAATTATACCTATTAAATTAGACACGCTGCGGTTAATATGGATCCAGTAACATTCTTAGTTTAGTTACCAAAGCAGAAAATGATCATTAAATGTTTCTCGCTAAAATCCCTCCCTCGCTATAAAACGATTTTCAGTCGAATTAATCGAGCCATTAATTTTGTTATATATATATTAAGTTATAAACTTTGCGGAATTTTCTAGTTATTTAACTGAAAGTAAGTACTTTACAGTGTATTTTTTTTAAGTTAGATAATGGTTGAGGTAGTTATAAAAATGGGGCATCAAAGTATTTATGTAGCTATAAAAATTAATTTTAGTTATATTGTTAGTTTTATTCTTCTATAAATTATGCTCGAGTTGTTTCTAACAGAAGAAAATCACTCGTTACTTTGTTATGGCAACAGTTTCAAGCTAAGTTACGTCCTTTTTAAATGAAACTTTTTTTATATATTTTTTGCTATAAAAAAAATTCTCATTTTTTAAAATATTTGTTGTTAATTAATTTTTTTCACTTAATTATAATCATTAAAAGTGCATTCGCCATTAAAATTCTGAATGCGCTTTCATAGTTTTATATACGGAAACTAGTATTATTAATGCTCTTTCTGAATGTCTAATTTTTTGAAATAGTTTTTAAAAAATTAGATATAAAAATAGTGGTAAAAAAATACCGAAATTAATTAGAATTTTTATATAAAAATTATTTAAAGTTTTCTTAATATAATCTAAAAATCATTCACGAAATTTTATAGACTAAATAAAGTTGATGAAACTAATAAAAATTCATTACGAAGTAGTTAAAATTTATAAATTTTAAATCTAAAATCGATTAAATTAATGAATATTTCTCTTTTTTTATATCAGAAAAACTCAAACTTCATTTATATTTCATCAATAAAAAATTATGTACGAAGTTTATATTCTGTAGACTAAATTTTTCTAATTAAATATTCATTGATAGAAGTATAAAAGCCCTAAAAAATCCAATCACACTAAAATAAATTCTATATATTTTTTTTATATTTTGGCACGTGGTTTAGTTTTTAAATTTAAATCATTACTTATTAATTTTTCATTAGGTTTAGTGGACTTTTTTTAAATGTTTTTCCCTCCGCAAGAGGTTTATTATTCAAACATTATTATTATTATTATAATATAGAATACAAAGTGAAAGATTTGGCTCATGTCTGAGTGGAAGAAGTACCCGATAGTGTATAAAGATTTTAGCACTTTAAATATCATTTCGGAAGAGCAATTACAATTGATTTTGGATAGTGTACCTCAACAAGAGCTTAGAAGCGAAGAATGGGAAGAAACGGAGCTAAATCAGAGTAATGAATACCCATTTGAAGATCCTACACCGTCTGTTCTTCGTTATATCAACTTGGAGAAACTATACTGGAGAGATACAGATTGGAGGATGATAACTGACGAAAGACCTTCGACAGAGAAGGACGAAAGATTTTTTAGCAGGTATATTTATAAAATTAACATTTACAACAGGAAAAAGAAATGTTTTAAGATCGAATATGAAATCTTTCAGACTCGTCGAATTGGAAAAATTTCGGCTTTTTACAAAAGCTGTAGAAATGAGAAGGAAGAAAAAGATGGAAGACGAGTTAGAAGAAGGTGTTTTACAAATTTCGGAGGTTTCTTATAGGAGTTATAGTAGGGAGTGTCTCGAGGACGAAGAGGTGGATCAATATGATGACGTAGAAGATCAGATTGATGATGGTCAACATCTACAACCGAAAAATAAATCAAAATGATTTTTCTAAGATGAGTTTTTATTAATAAATTATTATACTTGAAAATTAAGTAAATCAATTTTTAATCAAAACTTTTAATATTTACTTAAAGGGTCCTAAATTTTTTTAAAATTTACAAACTATAACGTAGTTTCTTAATATTTTATTAGCTTGTGATTCTCTTAAAGAGAGAAAATAACGTTTCTTTGGGACCTCCTGGTTGATAAGTAATACCGTACATAACGAACGATTCAACATATCAAAAATTTGAGAAATTCTAATTACATTTTATTTAAAAAGTTTTATACAAATTCGTTTAAAATCACAATGTAACTGGAACAATTGTTCTGGTCTCCTTCAATTAATAAAAATAACATTTGGATAAAATAATTGACACATTAAATTGCTAAATTAATTTATTTATAATTACAAACTATATATATATATATAATTTTTTTTAAAATAAAAGATAGTTTGAAAAAATAAAGGTGAATTGCTAGTGAACTTTTACTTACATAACAATAATATATTATATTATATAAAATAATTAATTGCATTTATATATAGGCTTATGCACAATGAAAAAATTAGTTAAATAAATCTATATAAATTTTTTAAGTATTTATATTTATAGTATATTTATTATAATTTTATATTAACAATGAAACATTTGAGTCCAACTTTCCATCTAAAGAAAATTTCATGGATTCCAGATGCTGGATTTCATGGATTCTGGATTCCATCTAAAGAAAATTTAACATTGTTGAACGAAAGAAACACGAAGAAGAAACAAAAATATGTTCTTGGTCTTGTTAATAATACAAAGGTTTTTTTGAATTATTCCCCCATCTTAAATTTCACCACTGAAACTCGTCCATAACTTGAATTTCTTAAATCCAAAAAATGAGGCGTATAAATGCCTCAATATCTCTGAATTTGGGGACATCTACTGCGCTATCGTTTATGAAAATGATCTAACAATGTTCAATTTTAATAGGGCTATAATAAATTGAACAATTATTGTAAACAACATAAAATTACTCTATATAAAATACTGAATGATTTTAATAAAATAGCCCTATTCAACACTCTCTACGGAGAAATTTAGCTATCTAAATGCAACCAAATTCGTTATGGTGGTATTTCAGGACATGCAAAGACATTTCTTTAAAAAAAAAATGAGTGTCAAAATTCGCCACTATGGCGTTTTTGGCGCTACAAGCAACAAGCTTTTCATTTGTACAAGACTGTCGTCAAGTTGGGGAAATACCACAGATTTGAGGATGGTCTTGATAAAAACCTTGAGGGAAGAGTTTGTTTGAGGCGTAAAACGTGTAAAGTTGATTCCAAAATAGCTAGCTTCAATATTAAAAAATTACTAACGAAATAAAAAGGAACACAATATCCTATACTGTTCTGTTTCGTTATTAAAATAAGAAGTTGGGCTAATTATTGGCTTTCTAGTGGTTGCCTGGACAGTGGCTGGAACTGGAATTGTGCAGCTCCGTTTTAGTTTTCAGCATATCTCAGCGCTGGCACAGTTAACAGTGTTAAGTATAACAGATAAAATAACATTGCATTTTGTTTTTCTGTTACGCAATATCTGGCCTTTGTTTCTTGATACCAATTGTGATCACTTCTGTACTGTTATATTTTTTAAATTAATGATCAGTTTTAAACACTAGCACAATATAGCAATAAATTGTAACACGGTATTTGTAACAAATCGTAATTGCGTTTTCCTAAACCGAGAATGTCCACCAGAGATCGAGTAGGGAAAAAAACCACTGAACATCGGTAGTTGGGCACGATTCGCACTTCACCAATGGGCTGGCAGCATGAGGTTTTTCGGGTTTTCTTCCTAAATAGAGGCCAGTTTCCCATAGAAAGTCCTCTCGGGAGCCACACCCTCTTGGCACGCCCATGTATTTCGTTGCCTTATCCATCAATACTATCCAATCCTAATCTGGGAAAATTTTAGGAAAATAAAAAGAAAATACTTATTACCTCTAAAAATCCCCCGACAAGTTTTTTTTATAGGGAAGACTTCGAAATTAGCAATGCTGAAGACATCTATGCAGATATCTTAGTGAGCCGAAGATACGACCGCCATTCTGAAGGTGTAAAAACTGAAGATGTAGGCCTATAGTATGTTCAACGACCGATCGTAATTGATCCTCTATGATGTCTTTCAAGGCCTTCAAATTTGCAACGTGTTCTCACAAATGAAACTGGTTTTTCGTTGCTTGCAGCGCCGAAAACTCTATAGTGGCGAGTTTTGATACAAATTTTATTTTACGTAAATGTCTTCCACATTTCCGAAGTGTCAGCATACCAGATTTGGTCGCATTTAGATTGCTAAATATCTCTAGAAAGGGTTGAATAGGGATACTTTAATTATGATCACCCATTACGCGAATGACGTCTAATTCAATAAAGCCGTGACTGACTAAAAGATGATGTTTTCATTTTTGGAAAGTCCTTAATTTAAATACATCTTAAATTTCTTAAATAAACTGTACTTAATTAACCAGTTCTGAAGTCTTATCTAAAAATGTTAGAAAAAAACTATAATATATTAATTTTTAAAATATATTATTACATTTAATAAATCATTTTAAGAGAATTAGTAAACAAAAAGAAAATTTTCTCATAAAACAATATAAAAATAAAGTAATTTATAAGATAGTTTTCTTTTTTTTTTATAAATTCTTCTATGGTCATGAAGTAGATTGAATGGTATCATATCCGGATTGTAAGAAATTCAATCTTTCGTGCTAGAAAATTAAATAAGAGATCATAAATACATATAAATAAACATCAACTCACAGCCCGAGTAGATAATAACATCAAACGATCGCCTAATTATCGGGCTATAATATGGCTATATTAAATGATTGGAACTAAGTAATTTGACACTTAGAGGTAGGCGTTAGGCGCCATCTCTTAATTAAATTAATAATTAAATAAATAAATTTAGAACATTCTGGAATAAAAGAACTGGCCCGGGACGGGGCTTGAACCCGCAACCTCCGCTTGCCGTGCGGTGCGCTTGCCAGTTACGCCAGTTTAACCAAGTAAGGTTATATCTAAATCTAATATACTTCTGGAAGCGAAGACTCGCTCGGGGTCCGGGTTGCGTTACTGGCAAGCGCACCGCATGGCAAGCGGAGGTTGCGGGTTCAAGCCCCGTCCCGGGCCAGTTCTTTTATTCCAGAATGTTCTAAATTTATTTATTTAATTATTAATTTAATTAAGAGATGGCGCCTAACGCCTACCTCTAAGTGTCAAATTACTTAGTTCCAATCATTTAATATAGCCATATTATAGCCCGATAATTAGGCGATCGTTTGATGTTGTGATCATAAATACAAAATAAGCATAATTAACGAATTAATTATATAATTTTTACCTGTACTAAATATCCAATGCAGTACTTTTCAGCTTCTACAAGTATCTGATTACTGTGATATGCACCGAGAAAAGATAAAGTCGCATCCCTTCCAGCATTTTCTAAGAGAATATATTCTCCTCCTGGATGCTAGAAAATAATATATTGTTTTATAATATTGGAAGCGTTAATTTAATAAATAAATAAATAAATGCCTTAAAATAACGTAGGGATTCGAATACAGATTGAATTACATATCACATAGGCTACATTTCATTTTTTTTTGTTGCAAGTAATCTGCATAAGACATTACTTGAATATATTATACGTTATTTATTAACATGCAGTCTATATTTTTGAATTTATTAAAAGAAAATTATGGCATGTTAATTTACTTTTCTTATTTTATGTCTCACTCGTTAGTTAAGATGACAGGATACAATCTTTACATCAGAATTATACAAAGAAAAAAAAGAAGGCAGGCTGCAAAATTATTCTCATCTTGACAGCTTTTCATTTCTTTCAGCCATTTTACATTTTTATTATTGGTTTAATGACACCAAAGCATTTTTATACAATTTCTAGCCTCGTAACAATCGAAAAGTATCTATTTTTTTCTACTTTATAATAATAAATACAAAAACAAAAATGATACAAGATGGTTCTGGATGCTTGGAAGAGAGACAATAATTCTATTGTGTCTGGAGATCTACTCATATTGTTACATGCAGTTGCTATTTTAGAATACAAGTCAACGAACTTCTCGCAATTTTCTCATAGAAAAAAACACACATAAATAATAATCTTCTAAGTACTCTCTTTTTTTTTTATAGATTCATATTATAGAAACTATTTACCTGAGATAAAAAATGGGTCACGTCGTAGATCTTATCGTAAATAATTATCCAGCAGTCATGTGCCTCGCAGTGTTGACGTACTTCTGCTAATGTGTAATATGAAGCAGATTTTCTCATTCAGCACAATTTTCTTTAATTCCTATACAGAAAATAAGGAAAAATTGAGCTTTATACTTGTAAATACCGATGAAAGATATGAGCGAAGTAACTGCTCTAAATTGACGTTTGTGATTATTCTTAACGGATGACTTAACGTGATTTATAATCTGTGATGAAAACTTGGATTAATTTACTAAAAAAAAACGAGACACTCGTGTATATATTATATCTTACAGCATATTTTACTATAAAATATGTACATGTATCTGTATATTTTGCATATATAAAGCTAAGTTATAGGATATTGCAAATATACAAAATATATCTTATTTTTTACAAGATTTAATTTCATGTTCAGATAGCTGAAGATGTATAAAATGTGCATAAAGTATTAATTTTACTAACATTTTTAAAATAAAAAAAACTTATATTTTATTGTCGTCGGGTTATTTTTAAGAATGTATTAAAGATGGGAGCTTATATATAAATGAGGATATTTTTGACGATTGAAGTAGGAGTTTGTGTGCCGCATCAGCACATCTATGACGTCGTCTTCCTCTTCAAAAGCCAAAATTTTATTTTAGTTTAAAGCAAATACTGTTAAAACTTCCCCAGAAAGCTTAGCTGGCTGATAATAGCGAAAAGTCATTCGGCATTTGAAAGGGAGCGAGTAGGTGCGAAAAATGAGTGTTTGACGCCAATTTTTGGTGGTGTGCATTGCTACATTCGATAAATTATAGCGGAATATTAAATTTAGTTTCAGTGGCCCACTTTTTTAACTCACTAGAATGGGAAATTGTTTCGATGGCAAGGGAGAAACGACAAGAATCTGTATGTCTATCACAATAAACATGTTAACGATGTGACTGACAATAAGACGAAAACCTATCGCATGTGTTTCTGCACTTCTGAAGTTTATAAAATTTCGATCTACAGAGTACTTTGTCGTCATTTTATTTTAAAATTATGTTAAATATGATACTGTATGTATAATATATCTGTTCCCATAATCTAGTAATTCGATCGATTTTTTTGCTTTATAAATATTTATAAATTCATAATTCTTAATTAAAATTCCTCTCATCTATCACATCTAAAATGCATTAAATGATTCGAGATTATTTAATCTGTTAACACCTTAACAAAATATTAGCGTGTTTGTTTACAAATGTCCCATTTTTCTGTTTAACACCTCTAATAAACAAAACCCTCTTTTAATGTAGAAGTAGGTAAGCACGTTTTAATCACTTTATACCTTCTCTTCCAAAACAAACATCATAAATCTGGCCAAAAGGTTCGAAAGAAGGCAAAAATCATTGAATGAAATACTATAAATAGATTTTAGTCAATGTTAATTTACCTATTTCAAAGCTACAGATTATTCCAGAGATCTACAAAATTCCCAATTTATTTAATTTAAATTGTAAAAGATATTAAGTTATAAAATGAAAAAAAAAATTATCATTTCGACTCAGATTTATTTAGAAGAATTCAAATTAGATCTAGTTTCATATGTATTTACATAAATTTAATTTTTGAACAGTGTAATCATAGAGTAATACATACACAATTAGAATTCTTTCATAAATAATTAATAATTCGAATTTTAAGCTTATAAAATGCATACCTTGTATGAATTATGAAGAATTATAATCACCAAAGTGGTTAATGAAACTTCGTATGAAGCGAGAAATAATAATAAGGAAACTTTTGCCAAAATAGATTTCACAACAAACACTAGTTTATTTTTTTTTTCTTTAGATAAACGAAGACAAATTACAGTACTGACGAATAGTAACAGCATCCTTATCTTATTCGAATATTCATATCTCTGTTGAAAATGTAGTCAAAAACGATCTTTTCTTGCTTAAAAACTTTGCTACAAGGTCACTTGCTTCAGTTATCATTCGGTTCAAAGAATTCAAAAAGCCTTAATTTCATGTACTGTACAATAATAATTGCTGCTTTTTGTAAAAGTAATTTTTAAAATACCGCTTTTAATTAGGCTAACTCATTTTGTTTGCTTGTTTTCTTTTAAAAAAAATGACCAAATTAGCAGAAAAAGATAACGTTATCTACTAAGTTTTACGTTCAAAGAATATAAAACTCTCTAGCAATTTTGCATGTAAATATAGGCTATAATTAAAATAAGAGTTTCAGCAATTATATGAATTTTTGCCATTTTTAATGGCTTCTCTGAACTTTTCTCCGTAAATTTGAAATAAATTAACCATTTCCTGTTATTAAAAAAAAATCAAATTTTGTGACTAAATTTTTATTATTTTTATAATTTATTGACGAATTAAAATTTTTATATAAAATAAAGTAGATTCTAATATTAAAAAGCAGTTAAACGTGATATTTTATGGTTAAAATCACTATAAACAGTCTAATTAAATGTGATATAAAACTTGTACATATAAATTTTATTTTAATAGACTTTTTTAGATTTAAACATCAAAATGAAGACTTGTGTATTAATTGATTAAAAACTGATAAAGTTTTTAAAATACCAAAAAACTTGTTGAAAAAAAAAACATTTTTTGAGTAGATTTGATATAGATACGATAGTTTTTTAACCTAATTTCTTAAGTATCCTTTATTAAAAATATCAAAATTTCCTTCAATACTAACTAAATTTACGTCGTAAATACATTTACTTTATATATAGCTAAAGTTTCAACTTTCCTGAAAAATTTGTATGCTAAAATTATCGTTAAAACAGGGGAAAAAATAGAAAAATAGGAATTTATTCCCGAGGAAATAAATTCCTATCATCAGTATCACTTATTTTTATTACATCGCTTTATCAAAGCGTGACTTGAATCATGATTAACCTTGAAACATTCAACACTATTTTCTGACTACAATTTTCTTTTTTTTTTTTTTTTACTAATCAACAATGATGCTGCATAGCAATTAAGTATATACCTAATTATTAATTCGGGGTGGAATAAATTGAAATTATGGTGTTGTAAACCAATATTATTCATAGTGTGGGTTTCTTTCAAAATAGAAGAAAAAGTAAGAAATTGATGTCTTAATTAAGACGTTTAAAAAATTTAATATATACAGAATGTTAAACATTAATTGAGATTAATTTAATTAATCTAATGTTTACTCGGTTGCTGAGAAATTCTTGGCAGAAAGACTTTTCACTGCTGAAAAATCTGAATGACTCTACGAGATAAACAGTGAAGGATTTTGTAGATTTGACAAGATAAACATAACAAAAAAAGATTTAATTCACGTAAATTAAATCTTGAGTAAATGTTATTTAATTCTCGAATTTTTATTTAATCCGTGGGATATTAGAAAAATTCCAAAAATTGATTTGTTTTAACAACATCGAGTGAGAATGGATTCAATGTATATAAACGTATAAAAAAGATTCTCGTCGTTATTTAACCATGACATATTTAAAAATAGAAACGTGTAAATGTGGTCATTGTGAACTAAGAACAGATGTTGCAGAAAATCAGTATCACTTACAATTTATTATTTAAATAAACAAAAGTTCTACATAAGTATGTTACAAAATAGCATAACCCTGCAGAAATTTTTTACATAATGTTAAATATGACTTTTTTTTTTTCCTTAGATGTAACAGCTGTGTATAAGTAGGTCTGATATACCTACAGGAATTATACTTAAAGAGGAAATTATCTGTAGAATGAAGAAATGATAAGTGTCAAACATTAAACTAGGCCCTATCAAAGGACACAGGCGAATAGTTCTCAGCAAATATGGCGTTCATCCAGTTTGATACTTCTATTTTACTTTCAGCAGCTGTCAGCATTTTCTCGATGGAATGACAATAACAAAAATAGACAAGAGGATGGCCGTTTTTTTTAGAGATTGAAATGATAGATGAAATGCACTCCTCATCGTTGTGGCACTGCGAATTATTTTACTTAGAAAAACCGATGCAGAAAATTCATAAGCGCAGTTTTTAATTCGGGTTAAAGAATAAATCTGTCAAGGACAATTTGTTGCCCAGAAAAACACTAAAATAGAAAAGGAGATTAGTTGCAGAAAATAGTAACGGAAGCAGGTGGAGCCACTTCTATACTTTACGAACCCGAATATCTGATGGTACCGTAGAAAAATAGAATCGAATTCAGCACCATCCAGATTACTTCATTCTGTACTCTGTCCCCCTAAGTGTGTTAGATTTATCCTTTTAGTTGTTACTTCTTCGATAAGAAATATTCTCGACATGGCACCAAGAACCTGGAGAAGACCGTACACGGCAATTTACGACGATAATTACAAATTCGGAAATAGTTTGTACTCGGGGACTCTCGATAGTATCGAGAAGAAATACCACGAAACTTTGAGACAAACCCATGTCCGTTCGGATCGACCAGATCTCGCCATGACCAGTTTTGCTGGATCGATCGTGACATCGGGACCATTGCCTACGACCTCCGATCCCGTTGTTCCACGATTAAGAGGAGGAGGATCGCCATCCAGTCCAAGATCAAGAGTAAGACCCGAAATGCCCTCATCATTAACCGAAAGCGATTTCCTTGGTCCAAGAATCAGACCATTAGATTTCGAAATAACACTGCCCACTACTAGATCTGCGCTGGCCGATGATGAATTCTTTGCAGAAATTGAAGATAGAAAGGCACGCAGGAAGAGGAAGAAAAGGATCGAAAGATCAGATATGATGGATCAATTTGCAGAAGAAATAACGCAATCTCAAGATTCTTCATCATATTGGGCAGATAAATGGTGAGTATCTATATATATAAAAAGAGGAACTAAATATATATTTAGGAATATCCAAATAATTAAGATAGTTAAACATCATTAAGTCCTTGCACTTTCTATTGTCGTAATCAGAAAGAACAATAGTGCAATTTGACCTAATTTCTATTTATAGCTCTTTCATAGTGAAACCAGATTAATACACTTTAATTGTTTGTTAATTTCTTCAAAAACCAATCATGTCAAAGTGATTTAAATCCTAATTAATTAACCCCTTGTAATCAAGAAAACCAACAATTTAATCCCGATTAATCCCTTGTAGTATCTAATTAAACGAAATGAATAAGTACAATCCCATTCTATTTTCATCTAATTGAGGTTGTTACATGTGATTCATTAGACGATTTAAAAATACACAATAATAGAAACTGGAATGAGAAAAATAAGATTTTAATAGCAGCAAATTCCATTTATTAGTACTTGCAAGTTTTCAGTCTATAATTAATTTGTAAGAAAGTCATTTCAAGGTATATATATATTTTTAATTAATTACCGTAATTTTCAATTTAAATGAGAAACTTATAATTTGACGAAATTATTAATTACTGTGATTTTCGAGAAAGTTATAAAAGCTAATTTAATAGTACTACGTATTAATATGATTTATTTAGAGAACTTTTCGTGTTAAAGCTGAAATAAATCATAATATTAGCTATTAAAACACAAGAGAACTCGTTTAAAATTCAAGATGCAGCTATCTCAACCAAGGGCTATTAAAAACTACATGAATTTTGTAGCTTGTTTTATGATTCAATTTCGTGATAGGAATAATATATATACAATTCCCGGTTATAAAAACAAGAAAAAAAGTAATATAATAAGAATTTAAATTCTGTAATGTTCAGTTAAAACCTGAAAAAAATTATCTCAGACAGAAATTTTATAGTTAAACTTGAGCTCATACTTTGATATAATAATATAAAAATAATACAAAGCTGTTATTTGTCCTACACTTAATTCGATTATTATGTAAAATACCAATTACATAGTCAATATCCATTTAAACAATACTTTTTTTTTTCAGTTAATCTCTCCTTAAATTGTGGTTAGCTACTTGTATGATCATTAAAACGGTGTTTTCAAGTATAATTACCTAAGAAGGAATCTAATTTATTCAGTAATTAAATTAATTGCTTAATATTAACTTTAAAAAAAGACGAAACGTATACATTTTGAACAAATCAATTACAGAAATCAATTAATTTTAATTAAAGTAATAATGTTTCTTAACTAATTTCGGTTCTGTGGAAAGAATTAATTCGAGTTTTTTAATAAATAATTTCGTGAATAAATATTTAAATTTAAAAAAAATAAAACTATTAATAAATATTTACAATTAAGTTTTTTTCAAATACATTTGAATCTTCTTAACATATTTAAACAATGATATAACTTTATAAAAGCGCACTAATTGTATTTAAATTTACGAGCCTTAAAACGCTTTAAAAAGATTTTAGTTTCAAAAACAAATGAACTAAACTCGAATCTAATTTTTTTAAAATTTAATTTCATTTAACATAATTCTAACCTTGTTTTTTTTTCTTTTAAAAACAATTTATTTCCATTTAATTTCAATGTTTTAAACGTAATACAGAGTTCAAAAGTGAGTTTTATTAAGTAATTTTATTGCATTTCTATCGTCAGAAAGGGCTAATTGGAAGATAAAATGACGTCTTCGATAAAAATGATTACATTTTATACAAATTGGATGAAGTCCAGATATTTCTGGCTCCGAAAACCGTAAACTTAGTCCAACATCCATTAATAGCAAGTGACAGAATGTCGGTTATTGGAACGGCAAGGTTAAAGTGCTAGAAAGTTCACTTCACATTCGACAAACAATAGGACTAAGTTTGATGGCTATAAACGATGAAAAAACTGCATTACTGGGCCACGGATTCCCCGAAAAACTATCCATTGTACGAAGGACTCTACTCATTGTACTCTACTATAAAAAAACCGGATCGTAGAAACTTGATATGATTGGTTTTCCGAAGCTTTAAAGGCAGAGAATAGGTTTTAAATAAATATATTTAATAATGATTTTTTTAAAAAAAACAATGAAAATAATTAAAGAACTAAATAAACGCGTAATGATTATATTTTCTGTGCGTTAGCCGCGACTTGCAGCACGAACTGGAGCAAGTATCTCAATCTTTGGTCGAAGCTGAGAGTCGTATTAAAAGTGAAGTTATTGGAACCAAGGGGAAGATCCAGAACGAATTGACTGAGTTAGCTATGGCTTTAGATGCCAGCAACCAGCAAAATTTAGAGCTGCAGAAAGTGATCAAGAAACAAGCGAAGCAAGTCATCGTAAGTTCGATTCTGTTGATAATGTTCGCAGATTCGATATTAAGAAACTGTTAAAGCACGAAATTAATTTGCTATTAAACAACTGATTTAAAACATTTCAAGAAGATAGATATATCTAACAAAGTGTAGGTGCCATACATGCCAAAATCCACGTTAGAATTAATGTTCTCACGAGGCACATACAAATTATGACTATGAGAATACTAATATTTTCTTGAAGATAAAATAAAAAGTATTTATGCATCAAGCTAAAAAAAAAATGAAATTAATTTGTATAATTAAAAATCTATTTAAAAATGAATTTAAACATTTAAAATAATGTATAAATATTTTAAAAAATGGACTATAAAACACCACCTTATCTAACTCAATCCCCCTCTTATAGTTTATAATAATTTAATTTAAAACTTAAAATAAAAACACAAAGTTTAGATTAAATAGTACCAAATATATAATTAAGGTTATTATTATAATAGATAGTCTATATTAAGGACTTTGATCATCATCTTATTAACAAAACTAATCAATCAAAAACATTATTCTAGTAGTCATTTATTTAAAAAAAAAGAATGTGAGTATGAATGTGTTTTTAATTGTTGTTCAGGAGCTCCAGTCCAATTACGAAGACGTACAACGTCACCTCCAGGGGACGATGGAGCAATTGGAGTCCTCTCAGCGTCGGTGCCAGATTTTAAAATCCGAAATTGATAATCTCCGGTCGTGTGTGGAACAGGTACTTATTACTTTCTAATAACCAATGATAAATTTCCCGCTTCAAGAATATAAACTACTGTATTTCATTTGAATATTACATATCTACGAGTATAATTAACGAATGTACATTATGCGGGCTATAATTTTGCATTCCGAAAATAAATTTCTCATGTATAAAATTATTTCTTTCTATACAATATATTCTAATATACTTAGTTTTTTACCAGAATAAATTTCTAAAATATAAAAAACTCATTTCTTAAATAACTTTTTAAAATCTAAAAATTACTAATATTAGAAAGTATTTATATGATTTGATTAAGTTTTCGGGACTCTTGGAGTAATAATCAAAAGCCATCAATCAACTTTTATGTCGAGAAACCTCCCCTTTTAATGATAGCAAAGAAAGCAATCAAATCGAGTTAAGATTTTTTTTAATTCTTTAATTTTCTATGAAAAAAATATTAAATTCGACATTTCTAAATGTAATCGCTCTCAATTAAGAAAAGAAATAATAATTATTCGAATAATTAAAAGACGAGAACGATTCTAATATATAATTCAAATTTCAACCAATTCGCTTACTCGATATTGTAATTGATTGCAATTAAAGTTGTTAAGCTATCGTTCATTGTACAAAGATGTGTGTGGGCGGGGCAGTTGGGCGTAAACATCTTCGTTGATTGTCTGTTCGTATTGTAAACGGTAAAGATTGACGTTTAAATTAAATTTTAAAACGTCACTCCGTTAGTAAAATATATTAAATAATTAATTATTAGAAAATCTATTTTATTAAGTCTATTTCAAGTTTTATAATCGTATAGAAGACTTAACACTGTTCAATCTGAACAGTTCAAATTTAAATTCACTTTAACATTTAAAAAAAAAAACTATAACATATAAGGTATAAACTTTATATTTTTATTATTTTTAAAACAATAAAAAACTTAAAGGTTTAGCACGATTATGTTACTAATAACTGCATAATTTATCTCTCATTCTTTTCAATTATCTGATATATCAGATGAGTTTCAGAGATGGAGTCTCAAATTTATATAGACACTTGACAGTTAAAAAAGAAGACTTCTTTTTTTATTTGACAGCTTTGACCTGAAGACCTGTTATTTGCTTAGATCAAATTTCTTTCTGGAACGTCTTTCTATAGCTAAAGAGTTCTATAAGAGAGGAAAAAAAATGTTCTCTCTGTTCAGCCTTAAACAATCTTCTTAACATGAATTTAACATTACAAAATTATGCTAAATTTTATAAAACACTGTATTTTTAAAAGATGTTTTAGATGGTTATTTTTTCATGCAGCCAATAAGAAGCAAACGATTGTGAATGTGATTTATTTTGAAGATTTATAACCACATCTATACAGTCCGTCGCTCTTAAAGCCTTTCCAGAAGGTAAGAATTTTTAAATTTTAATAAATTAAATATTTTCATTTAATCATTACGAAACTATTTTATCTTATTGACTTATTTTTATTTGTAATATAAAATAAAATAAGAAGGTAACCAGGAAATTTTTGACGATATTAGTTATATTTAATCTTCTCGATTTCTCAAGGACTTTTTTTTTATCGATATTTCTCAAGGACTTTTTAAACATACAAATTTATGTAAATTTAATTATATATAAATATACTGTAATACTCTTGGAAGTACTTATAAGATATTCGTTTTAAAATCTATTCACTGTACAATAATAAATCTAAAAAAAAATTTTCGGCTGCAAACTGAATGATAGCATCTGAAGCAAGATGCTACTATCATTTGAAACAAATTATCTCAAGCAAGACATTTATGACTATAAATGATTAACGATATTCAACACAAATATAAATTGTCACTCAGAATGTTTTAAACCATAAATCTTCTATTTAGTAGGAGAAAAAAAAAGGGGGAATTATGAGACAAGCTAGTCAATATAATAATAAAATAGCAAGAATGCTGATGATGTAGGCTACTACATGTTTTCTATAATTAAATACATTGTTTGGTAGAATAACAATCTTTATTTCTGTTAAATATATATTTTTAGAATAAATGAAAATTAAACTGTTAAGACTAACATTACGTTGTAGGGAAAAAATGAGAATTAAGCATTTAAAGCAATTACGGATCATTAATTAGATGATTTAAGTCAAACTAAATAATAAATCTTGTTTTTTTTCTTTGTAGATGTCTGAGGAGATCAACCGTACCTGAGATTATCCAAAACTTTAGTTTTTTTTTTCCGTTTTAAAACAATAATAGACCTAAAAGAGTGCATTAGTTGAATAAAAAAAAAATACGGAGATTGTGCTTTACCTTTTGGTATGTTTGTTAAATGTAGAGACTCTGGCATCTGAATAAAAGATCATCAGATGTTCATTTAGTTTATTATTTTTATCACCAATCGAGAACATACGTAGCCTAAGTTAAACTAACAAAAGATTTAACGTGAATTAACTAAAATTAGATTTCAAGTTGAACCTACTGATAAGAATGTCACTAGTTAATTTGATCTCTAACTTGCGATAAAATTAAATTTAGACTTAACTACTTTAAACTGAAAGTGTACAAAATTAGCATCCTGATCATATTTCTGACATTTTTAGTGAAGAAACGTGTACGGAAAATGCTACAAATACCTTAAATTATATTAGAAATTTATAATAAAAATCACAAATTATTTTATATTCGTAATTAAAGATGATGTAACTTATCTTTAGAAAGATTTTAAAAAGATCTTACCTGAACTGAGCAATTGGTGAAGAGAAGCCCGAGTTTTTAAAACGAACGGAATAGCCTCTGGCTATTAATTATACAAAACGGATCAGGTTTCTAAACAGGCCTCTTATATAAAATTTATTCCTACACGCAATTTTATATAAATATATGAATTGTATAATAAAATATTTATATAAATATAATAATAAAAATTACTATATTGAGTTATATAACAAAGAATGTTTTTGGCTGAATATTCTTATCATACTACTGGATACGTATGCATAACAGGTTATTGTTATTCTACCGTTCTGCTTAAATTTCTTGAATGAAAATCTCTCCACGGTGACACTTAAAGTTTTTAAACTTTATTAACAATTTAGAAAAATAAAAAAAAACATTAACCAGAAGTTAAATATAAAATGTAAAATAAATTATTTAATATGCAAACAATTTTTGTTTACCAATAAACAAGGTTTGGTATTTTTAAATATACATGATAGTATCAAGGTCAAAAAAATTGAATAAAAATTATGATCTTTCCACTATACTTGTATCTCAATAAAGTAAAATAGTTATCAATTTTAACTGTTACTATTAGAATAATCAACTCCATAATGAAATTACAAATGAAATATATTATTTATGCTGTATACAGTAAAAATGATTAAGTCTTTTGATAAAACATATATGTTTTACTAAAATTTTAGGTTCAATTTTTTAAAAATTGACATTTCCAAACTAGTCAATGAGCATGGTTTTTTTTTTCTATTCTTGAAAATTTAAATATTGGTAACTTACTTTCAATAAAATTCCTGTTGTATAATTTCAACAAAGTATGAATGTAATACATTATTAGGTTTCAAATGATTGTTTTTGAATTCAGAGGGAAAAAAAATATATCTTTTAATAAATATATATAGACTATATTAAAAGATATAAAAATATTTTCAGTTAAGTTAAATTAGGATTTTGTCTTATAAAAACTAAAAAATTTGTCATTGAAAATCNGGCTATAGGTTCCTTATATCAAAATGTTCAAAATTTCATCCTCTACAATCCCCCAAATTCTTAAAATGTCATTCTGATACACCCTGTATATGAAACTTATGATGTCAATAATTTTAGTAATTTTCACATAAACATCTTGTAAATTCTTATTTATCTATTAAAAAAATATTTTTATTATTATATTATATTATACAGGTTGTTTTAAGTTTAATAATTTCAAAGATTTTTTAAAGTCTTTATAAATAATAAAATAATTGCTTATTTAAGTAAACTATAGAAATACTCAATAGAAACAAGACATTTTTTTAAAGTGATATTTTATGATTATGATTTATTACTAATTAATACGAGGAATTGAAAAATATTTTTATGAAAATATTAACTAAAAAAAAAAGGTTACTTGTTATTGTTTAATATTAATGCATAATTGATTTATAAATAAGCAAATATCATATTCTTGCAAGAAAAATATTTGTGTTTTTAATTGCTAAAATTTCACTTATGAAACTGCAAAAATCGTCATTTTGTTTTGAGAGATGAAAAAATAAATTTTGTTTAGATGGAGTTTTTGATTGAATTTAACAATAAACACAACATATGAAACACAACATAAGTTGCTTCATAAAAAATGTGTGTATAAATTTATATTTCCTATTTTTACATAACTTAACTACTTGTAAATAAAAAATTATATGTGATATTACTAATTACATCAATAGCCTTTTAATGAACCAAAAGACATTGCCACTTTAAATAATAATCCAGTGTTTTGGTTCATATTATTAATATATTAGTTTTTAAACTGTAAAGTTAAATGTACTTACATTAATTTTATTAATCCATGTTAGAGGCTTATTTAATTAAATAAAGCACTGTTTTAATACAAGATTTTTCTTTTTTAGTTTAATATTAACTACTTTTATTCAAATAATAGAAAGGTTGTGGGTGAAGTTTTCAATGCAAAAACGCGAACGTCAGATGTTCATGTTTTTGCGTTGAAAACTGGCCGTGACCTCGTTAATTAGTATTTACAAACTGACTGTTCAACATCTATTAGTATGTTACCATATCAAATGAATGTAATAATAAATTTGCATAATTATGTAAGAAATGATAAAACATTTCTCATTGCATTCTTTAAATACTCTAGGTATGGAATATGTCATAATATACAGGGTGTATCAGAATGACGTTTTAAAAATTTGGGGGATTGTAGAGGATGAACTTTTGAATGTTTTGATATAAGGATAGCTGGAAATGTGATATAAAGTTCCTACAGCGCTTTGCATGTTCTATGCAGTCGGTATGTTGAATGAAACAGCAGAATACAGTATTTATGACAAGTTTTATTGACAAAACAGTAGCATACAATCAAACTGTACATCAAATCAGTGGCTGCACTACTTTAGAGTTCAATGTGACGACCACCAACTTCGTTACATAATACATGCAACGACGAACCATGTTTTGTCTGACTCTTGTAAGATGCCACGCTCCCCTCTGATGGTATTAAATGCTGTAAAGATGTACTCCGTAAGCTCATGAACTGTTCCTACAGGTGTTGCATACACAACGGATTCACGTTGACTAGTTGTGTGTTTACAGCACAGTGCCAGTGGATGCAAGGGGTAACCTGAAGGACAGCAAGCACTAAGTACACAACGTCCTGTACACAGGCTTGGTTAGACCACTGTAGTTGTGTGTTTACAGTCTTCCATCTGCAGCAATAACATGACGTCAATGGATGGACGGGTAACTACCAAAGTGAAGAGCGGTCATGCACTTCCTACTGCTGTAGACACTTTAGTTCAAATTTCCGGCTATAGGTTCCTTATATCAAAATGTTCAAAATTTCATCCTCTACAATCCCCCAAATTCTTAAAATGTCATTCTGATACACCCTGTATATGAAACTTATGATGTCAATAATTTTAGTAATTTTNCAATTTTTGTTTACCAATAAACAAGGTTTGGTATTTTTAAATATACATGATAGTATCAAGGTCAAAAAAATTGAATAAAAATTATGATCTTTCCACTATACTTGTATCTCAATAAAGTAAAATAGTTATCAATTTTAACTGTTACTATTAGAATAATCAACTCCATAATGAAATTACAAATGAAATATATTATTTATGCTGTATACAGTAAAAATGATTAAGTCTTTTGATAAAACATATATGTTTTACTAAAATTTTAGGTTCAATTTTTTAAAAATTGACATTTCCAAACTAGTCAATGAGCATGGTTTTTTTTTTCTATTCTTGAAAATTTAAATATTGGTAACTTACTTTCAATAAAATTCCTGTTGTATAATTTCAACAAAGTATGAATGTAATACATTATTAGGTTTCAAATGATTGTTTTTGAATTCAGAGGGAAAAAAAATATATCTTTTAATAAATATATATAGACTATATTAAAAGATATAAAAATATTTTCAGTTAAGTTAAATTAGGATTTTGTCTTATAAAAACTAAAAAATTTGTCATTGAAAATCAAAATAAAATAAGTCTACACTTCACTTTTATTTTGGAAAGGATTCAACTAAATAAGTCAGTATCAAAAAACTAATGTATCAATTTTATATAAAATTTTTCGTATTAAAGTAGATATAAAATTATATATAAATATACCAGTTTTAGATAGGCCTTAGATACATTGCAATCATTGTCATGGCAAAGAGCCAAGTAGTCATCATTAGATACATTTAAATTTTTATAAACAGCTTCATTAAAAATCATGTCAAATATTTTTTAAGAAATGTTCTTTAAAGAGAACCTTGATACATCAGGAAATTGTATAATTCATATAACAGAATATTAAATAAGATCCAGTTAACTTTTGAATTCACCTTGATATTTTTCTAATTATTATTGGTTAATGATTTAAATTATTAATGTTGTTAATAATTTAAATTAATAACTTAACATTGATTCTAACACCTTAATCAATAATATACATTAAAAAAATAAATAAAATTTTTAAATAATGAATTAATGAAATCAAAGAAATAACAAGCTGAAAGGAATAAAAACTTGACTACTGACAAATTAAATGTATTATTATTATTACTATTTTTATTTATTTTTTTTTAATGTATTTAGCAAATTAAAAGTATGATTGATGTAATTAGTAATACTACATATAAAAATTATATGTGATATTACTAATTACATCAATAGCCTTTTAATGAACCAAAAGACATTGCCACTTTAAATAATAATCCAGTGTTTTGGTTCATATTATTAATATATTAGTTTTTAAACTGTAAAGTTAAATGTACTTACATTAATTTTATTAATCCATGTTAGAGGCTTATTTAATTAAATAAAGCACTGTTTTAATACAAGATTTTTCTTTTTTAGTTTAATATTAACTACTTTTATTCAAATAATAGAAAGGTTGTGGGTGAAGTTTTCAATGCAAAAACGCGAACGTCAGATGTTCATGTTTTTGCGTTGAAAACTGGCCGTGACCTCGTTAATTAGTATTTACAAACTGACTGTTCAACATCTATTAGTATGTTACCATATCAAATGAATGTAATAATAAATTTGCATAATTATGTAAGAAATGATAAAACATTTCTCATTGCATTCTTTAAATACTCTAGGTATGGAATATGTCATAATATACAGGGTGTA